GGCTCCATAGTGTAGTGGTTAGCATGTCTGCTTCACATGCAGAAGGTCCTGGGTTCGTGCCCCAGGCGAAGCCACGGACCATGCCTCGGGTGCGACATGCCCCAGGTGCGCCAGGGCCCGGGTACGTGCTGTGAGCGTGTGGGAGGAGATGCCCTGCCTTCAGAGATCCAGTTCTTAAGGGAAGATGGCAACATCCATAGGTCAGGGGTGGAAGTGGGGGAGGGAGGGATTAAAGGGCGTGGGGGAAGAAAGGACCATATAGAGGCCACCTTGGGGCATCTCATTTGGTTTCGACTTGCATTTCCTTGATAACTAGTTATATCTAGCATCTTTTCATATGCTTATTGACCATTTCTATATCTTCCTTGGAAAAATGTCTATTGAATTTTTTTTCCTTATTCATCTTTTTATTGTTCAATTGTAAGTGGTTAAATATTCTTGATACTGGTATCTGATTTACAAATATTCTCTCCCATTCTATTGTCTTTTCACTTTTTTGATATTTTTTTTGCAGCATAAAAATGTCTAATTTTGATTTAGTTGAAATTATTATTTTTTGTGCCATATCTAAAAATTCCTTTGCCAAATCTGCTGTCAAGAATATTTTTCTATGTTTTCTTCTAAGTTTTATAGTTTTAGCACTTATATGTAGGTCTTTCATCAATTTTGAGGTAATATTTAAATGTGGTGTGAAGTATGGGTTCAATGGCTTTCTTTTCATGTTGTCCCATCACCATTTGTCCCATCATCCAGTTGTTCCAGCATCATTTGTTGAAAGCAAGTCTTGGCTCCTTTGTCAAACATTAATTGATCATAATGTAAAGATTTATTTTTGGGCTATCTATTCTATTCCACTGGTGTGTATTTCTATCCTTGTGCCAATACCACAGCGTCTTGATTACCATTGCTTTGTAATAAGTTTTGAAATGGGGAAGTGCGACTTCTCTAACAGTGTTCTTTTTCAAGAATTATCTTGAGTATTTTGAATCCTTTGAAATTCCATATTAATTTTAGAATTAGCTGATTTCTACAGAGAAGTCAGCTGGGATTCTGTTAGGTATTGCATTGAATCTATAGATCAGTTTGGGTTTATTGACATTATTAAGTGTGCTGATCCATAAAAATAGATGTTTTTCCATTTATGTAGATATTCAATTTCTTTTAACGATGCTTTTCATCTTATAATATTGCACTTTTTAAAAATTTATTTTTTATTAAAGTAACTGGTTAATAACATAAATTTCAGGTGTACAATATTATAATTTAATATGTGTATACTCTATTGTGTGCCCACTACCAAAAGTCTAGTTTCCACCTGCTCCCAAATATTTACCCACTTTGCCCATTTTGCCCTCCCCAATCCCTTCTGCTCTAGTAACCACCATTCTGTTGTTGGTATTTATGTTTTTTTTCATTTTGATACTTCATTTGTTACTTTTTGGGCTTTATATTCCACTTGAGTGAAATCATACGGATTTTTTTCTTTCCCATTTGACTTATTTCACTTAGCATATATACTCTTAGCATATATGTATATGTGCATGTGCATATGTATATTAATAAATGTCTTGATAGATTATCTTTTTTATCATTATAAGATGTCCATATTTGTCTCTTACTATATTTTTTGTCTTGAAATCTATTTTGTCTGATCTAAGAATGGCTATACCTGCTTTCCTCTGGATATCATTTGCTTGGAGTATCATCTTCCACCCTTTCACTTAAAGTCTACATTTATCTTTGGAGCTGAGATGGGTCTCCTGAAGGCAGCATTTATTTGGGTCTTGTTTTTTAAGAATCTGGCTACTCTGTGCCTTTTGTTTGGTGAGTTCAGCCCATTTACATTTAGGGCGATTATTGATATGAAAATTTACTACTGCCATTTTATCCTTTGTTCTATGATTGCTTTGTACCTCCATTGTTTCTTTTCCTTGTGTTTCTGTCTATTTTAGTTTGGTGGTTTCCTATGATGTTTTCCTCTTTCCTCCTTTTTTTATGTTTTGTGCCTCAGCTCTGGATTTTTGTTTTGTGGTCACCAGGTTTGTATAAAATGTCTCATAGATAAAATAATCCTTTTTTTTCTCATAGCATCTCATCTTCAATCAACTATATAAATTTTATCCCTTTCCATCTCTTTTAATGTTTTTGTTGTCACAAATTATCCCTTTTTATGTTGTGCATTTGTTACCAAATTGCAGTAGCTGTAGTTATTTTTAATGCTTTCCTCCCTATAACCTTTATGTTATAATTAAAATTTTAATACCCTATTCTGAACTTTGTGTACTTTTGTCTTTTTGATTCAGGTAGAAGAGCTCCTTTCAATATACATATTTTGTAATGCAGGTCTTGTGGTGGCAAATTCCCTCGGCTTTTGTCTGGAAAGGTTTATTTCTCCTTCATATCTAAAGGATAACTTTTCTGAATATTTTATTCTTGGCTGGTGGTTTCTATCTTTTGATTTTCGAATATATATTATGCCATTCTCAGTCTGTAATGTTTCTGCTGAGAAATCTGATAACCTGATGGGATTTCCTTTGTTGATTTCTTTTTCCCCTGGCTGCCTTGAGAATTCTTTCTTTGTCATTAACTTTTGACAGTTTTAAAATAATGTGTCTTGGAAGGTCTTTTTGTGTTGAGATAATTAAGTGTTCTGTTAGCTTCTAGTACATGAAATTGGTTTCTTCCCTAGATTCTCTGTTCCTTCCTCCTTCTGGGATACCCATTATCCTTATGTTGCCCTTTCTAATGAAGTCAGTTCTCGTAGAATTCTTTCGTTAAAAAAAAAAAAAATCTTTATTCTGTCTCCTCTTCCACCTGAATCTATCTTCAAGCTAATTCTCTCTCCCATATGGTCTGCTTTGTTTCTAATGCTTCTACTGTATTCTTCATCTCATTTATTGAGGTCTTTATCTCCAGAATTCTTTTGGTCCTTTTTTATAGTTTTAATATCTTTGGTAAAGTACTCCTGTGTTCATTAGTTTTATTACTGAAATCAATGAACTCTCTGGGTTCTCTTGTAACTGAGTTTCTTCATGACTGTTCTTCTATTCTTTAACATTTTGATCACCATCTCCCATGACTTTGAGTTTGGTTTCTGGAGAATTCTAATTTTCTTTCTGTTATCATGTTGCCTTGTTCAGGGTGCTTGATGCGTTGTTCCTCTGCTGGTGCATTTGAAGTAGTACCTTTTTTATTTAGGTATTTTAACAATTCAACAGGTTGATAATTAATGTCTTTCTTTTGTTTTCCAGTAGATGGCACTATAGAAGAAATTTTTGTTTTCTCTTACCTGCGCTCCCTGTGCCTCCGGGGTCACAGTTGGGGAACATAACTGTAATCGTGGTGGGTGTCCCTGCTTTATATGGGTTCCCTAGGTCACAGGGCACCACTATGGATGTGGCATGGGCGATGGGAGCAGGTTCCTGGACCTGCTGGGCTGTTAACTGGCTCCCTATGGCTGCTAGCACCTCTGTTCTATAGCCGGAAGTCTGTAGATACATATCTGCTTCTGCTACCGGGCCCTGGTGAAATTGGGAAGGGTGGAGGGTGGGAGCCGAATCCTTGAGTGCTGATGCTGCTTTTGCCTCTCTTAACCTCTGCTCGGCCTAATGTTCGGGGCTGCACCCCAACTCCTCCAGCACCACATTGACTGAGGCCTCAGGCTCAGCTTCAGGGACCAGGGAACTGCATCTGCAGATATCCTTCCTTCCCCCAATCCTGCTTCACCTATGCATTCCAATATGCCCTCCTTCAGATGTACTGATGTGTGGCATGTTAATATTTTGAGCAGAAGAACCTTCGTTGAGTTACAGATGGCTGACTAGCTGTAGATTTAAGGGGAGATACAAATGGGTCTTCTCATTCCACCATGATGCTTACATCACTCCTTCCACTTACTTTTAAAGTCATTATTGACAGTTGAGGGCTTACCGTCACCATTATGTTTATTCATTTGTGTTTTGTAGTTCTTTTGTTCTTCCTTTCCTGTTTTCCTTTGTGAGTTGATTTTTTTGGTAATGATATACTTTTTATCTTTCTTACATCTGCTATAGATTTTTTCTTTGTGGTTACTATGAGGCTTGCATAAGCCTTATTAAATCTATTTTGAGTTAATTACAACTTCGATCACATACAAAAATATTTTTACTCCAACACTTTATATTACTGATGTAAATTCATTTTTTCTATTGTGTACCTATTAAAGAGATCTTGTGATTATTCTTTTTAATTTTTACACTAGGGTTAAAATTTATCTATGAATCACCCTTAGTTTTATTTTATTCTATATTTGTCTACATATGTATCTTTACCTGTTGCTTTTGTTTTAAAAAATTCTCTTTGACTTTTGACAAATTATAATGTGTCTAGCTACCTACCTCTTTAGGTTCAATTTATCTGTATTTTTTGGACTCCCTGAATTTGGATGTCATTTTTTGTCATCAGATTTGGAGTTTTCAGCCATTTTTTGTTTAAATACACTTTTCTGCCCTTTCTTCGGCTTCCATAATGTGTACAGTTATCCCTTGCTATCCTCAGGGGATTGGTTCCAAGACCCAATGTGGATACCAAAATCCTTTATATAAAATGGCATAGTATTTGCATGTAACCTAAGCACAACCTTCCTGTAGACCATCTTTAGATTACTTATACCTAATCGAATATAAATGCCATGTAGTTTATATTATATTAAGGAATAATGCCAAATAAAAAGTGTATGTGTTTAGTACAGAGGCAGTCATTGTACTGAACTACATATTACATAGGCCTAACTACATAGTACATGTCAGCAACAATATAACTTTTTTTCCCAAGTATTTTTGATCTGTGGTTGGTTGAATCCAATGATGTGGAGCCCATGGATATGGAGGTCTGACTGTATATTGGTTTGCTTGATGGTGTCTTGTACTGGTCTCAGACTGCAATAAGCAGTGCTGTGGCTGGACCAGCCCTTGTGTTTCTTATTATGACTGCAAAAGACCCTTTAATAATAACCATCGGGAAACTCTGAAATGATACAGGTTTATTACAAGACCTAGAAATTACACAGCAAGTTTTCAGGCAGAGAGAGCACATGAGCCTGGGGTTCCGCTTTTATTGGGGTTGAGGGTGGTGGCCTAGGGTTTTACAGGCTGACTCTATACTGCTGAATTTAAAACATAACAGTGGGAATTTAAAGTGCTGGAAGAGAAAACAGGTAGCCCACGTAGTTATTAAAATCAACCATGACCTCTAAAACAAAGGAACCTCAGTGGGGGAAGGCGGGCTTGTTCTTTGGCTGCGTTGCTGGTGATGTGTGGATGCAAGATAGCTATTTTTGAAATGGATGCCTCTGAAATGGATGCTTCAACAATCAAAGCTAAATCAGGCACTTGCATTACAATAAAACAAAACAAGCAAATATCAGGGTTTATATTCCAGTGTCCCAAAGTCCAGTAAATAGCCTTTCTTCACTTTCTTCCCTTTTTGTTTCTGTGTACTTTCGGAACTGTTTTTGAACTTGCTGATTGATCAAGTTTGCTCTAGGTGTCATTATATTTAGTTCCATAATTTGGTTCTTTTTTTAAAATTTCTATTCCATTGTTGTCTTGTTTTATTTATGTATTGTTATCCTGATTTTGCTTAGTTGACTATCTGTGCTCTCTTATAACTCACTAAGCCTCCTTAATTATTTTGAGTTATTTTTCAGTCTATTTTGTAGATCTCTATACATTTTGGGTCAGTTATTAATACTTTCATTCCTTTGGTGGCACTGGTTTCCTGATCCTTCGATTCCTGCAGCCTTGCATTCCTGTCTGCACACTTAAGGAAATTACCTCTTCCGGTAATTACAGGCTTCTACATGGAGAGCCCTTCACCAGTCAGCCTGGGTAGACATTCTGGGAGCGGCTCCTGGTGGTTTCCTCAGGAAAGCCTGGTACCAGAGTCCATGGGTGGACAGGCCTGGTGCCAGGGTCTGTAGGAGCTGGTCTGATACGAGCCCACTCACCTACAGACCCTGGCACTTCGGTCAGTCAAGGATCCAGCCACATAGCCTATCTATATGGACAGACTTGAAGCCTGGGTGCATAGAGTCTGGCTTGTAACCAGGAACTAAAGTGGTAGGCCTGGAGCCTGGTTCCACTGGGGCTGACCTGGCACCTGGATCATATGGGGTGGGCCTGGAACCTGGGATTGAGGGGGTGGCCTGGTGCTGGGAACACTGGGGCAGGCCTATTGCTTCATGGGTGCTGGCCTGAAGCTTGAGTCTGCAGGGCACAGCCTGGAACCCAGGTAGGTAGGTCTGGACCCTGAGTCTGAGGGAGAAACCTTGGTCCTAGGGTCCACTGGGGAAGGACTAAGCCTGGGTCTGTGGGTGCAGGCCACTAGGATGGTGTTGGTGGGGGCTGGAGTGGGGATTGGAGTAGCCCTGGAAACTGCTAGAACCCAAGTCTGCTGGGGTGGGCCTGGTCCCTGGATCCACAAAAGTCAAATACTCAGTCCACTCTTTTCTCTAGGAGAAAGCTCCTGAGTGGAGAGAATCTCTCTCAATGCTCAACTAAGTGGGTCTGAGGTAGGTAGAGGTGATGCAAGAAAACAAAATGTTGATTCTATCCTTTTCAATGCATCTTTTCTCATTTCTATGTTCCACCCGAGCGCTGAAATCTCTCACGTGGATACCAGAGCATTCGAGAAGGCATTTCTGCATGTGAATCATTGTCAAATTGGAGTTTCTGAGAGAAAATGAAGGATGAAACTTCCTATTTCACTACCGAGCTGATGCTGCTCTTTATGTCTTAGTCTTTTTACATCCTGAGTAAAATGAAATGAAATGATTCATTCTAGGTGTTTCTAATAGCATCCAGATGATATCGATCCCTTGAAAGACACCATTTGTAGATGAAGGTAAAGAAGGTCAAGGCAATAATCTGACTTGCTGAAATGGATGAAAATGGTAAGCACTTGATCCAAGTTGGGAATCGGGTCTATCTCTGGTATCTATGCTCTTTAACCAAAAACTTCACAAAATTGCTCCAAAAGATCTTGAGTCCAGGCATAACACAGTGGGACCATAACTGCCAACCCACATAGACTCAGGGAGCAAGGGATTCTGTTCTCGGGTTTTGTCATACATGAAACCATTTATTCTCACAACAGCCCTGTGAAGTAAGTACTATATTACTAAATTACCCATTTTACTAATGAGGTAACTGAAGCAGAGAGAAATGAAATAACTCTGCACAGGGGCAATACAGCTGCTAGCCAGCAGAGCTGAGATTTGACAGCAACTGTTATGGCTCCAGAGACTAGGCCCCAGAGACCTGTACTAAGCCCGAAACACCTCAGGGCTCTGGCAGGAGCCAGCAGCCTTGGAGGAAATACGCCATGGTGGTACAAGGGAGACGTGAATGAGAGGATATAACCATGGGGAACATGAGAGCAAGGGGGCGGGGCATTTTGGTGTCTTCATGAAGTAGTAAAAAATGTTTCCTACAGTGAGGATCCTATTATGCTGGATAAAGATGAATATTAAACGAAAGCAATTCCACACTTACTGGCTTATCTCATGTGAATCTGCTGGTGTTTTAGAGGTGTAACTTGAGAATGAAAGCTTTCTACACTCATAGGGCTTCTCTCCAGTGTGAATTGTCATGTCACCCGAAATCAGAGTAGCGGCAAAAGGCTTTCCCACACACTTTGCATTCAGTTTTTATCCAGTGTGGGTCATATGATGAATACGAGATGAGCGTTGATTGAAGGCCTTTCTATATCTGTTGCGTTTATGAGGCTTCTCTCCAATGTGCTGCACATTCATGTGCTGACGTAAATTAAACTTGGAGCAAAAGGTTTTCCCACATTCTTTGCACTTAAAGGGTTTTTCACCAGTGTGGATCCAAGTATGTTGGACAAAACCAGAGTGGTAGGAGAAAGACTTTCCACATTTACTGCATTCATAAGGCTTCTCTCCAGTGTGAATCCGCCGGTGCTCTGTGAGGTGTGACTTGCGACAAAAAGCTTTCCCACAGTCACTGCAGTTATAGGGCTTCAGTCCAGTGTGAATCTGCATGTGTTGAGTCATATTATATCTGTTGCAAAAGGCTTTCCCGCAGTCTTGGCATACAAATGGTCTTTCTCCAGTGTGGATCTTCTCATGCTTAATTAAATTACACTTATTGAGGAAGGCCCTGCCACATTTACTGCATTCATAGGGCTTCTTTTCAGTGTGACTCTTCATGTGTTGCCTGAGAGCAGAACTGTTGCAAAAGGTTTTCCCACATTCATGGCACTCAAAAAGCTGTTCTCCAGTGTGAATCTGCTGGTGCTGCATGAGGTCTGATGTACAGCTGAAGGTCTTTCCACACTGTATGCATTCATAGGGCTTCCCTTCACCACGTACACAGCCACGTGCAAGATTCTGATTCCTGATATTCCTGCATTCACTATATTTGTAATGGTTCTCCCCTGCTTGATTCATGGGGTCTTTAACTAGTCTGTGTGCATGACTTTCATGGAGAACACCTACTGGAGAGACGTGTTCCTGTAAAATCCTTGCATGTAGACTGTCATCTATCCCCAACTCATTGCATTTATGATTCAACTTCCCAGGGCCAATCTCCTTGTGGGGGTCTGCCACTGGTTTTAAGATTCTTTCCTGCATTTCTGATGGTTCTACCTGAGTCTTCGTTTTTCCAGTCCCAGAGTCCCTTGAAGCTCCCTGTTCCAGCCATACCTGAAGTGAAGGTTGCTTAGACAAAAGCAGCTGAGAAGTGGTTGGTTCTGTAGTCTCTGATTTTGTTCTGGCTCCTGAAAAGAATTCAATACAAAGTAACCTATTAGTGATGCCAACACAGAATAAACATAATCACCACTTCTAGAGGGGAAATGAAGATGAAAATAATGCGTCTGAGCCTGTTATGTTTTCACACCTCTGAAATCCAGGCTTACAACTTTGTTCTTTTCTGTTCCTTCGGCTCTTGACATTTAAAGAGGGAAATTCGAGAGGGGGTGCTGGGGCAGAGGACAGAGGATCTGGTGGGAGAATCCTTATAGTCCTGAATCAAGGAGGGTGGACGGAATTATGGTGACATATACAGTGTGTTGGCTCTGAGAGAGAACATCTCATCACAGTGCCAGGCGAGCGTAATAAGATGCACCGATTCTGGTCCATAAGGGA